CTCATGCTCCCAATACTTCTGTTAGTCTCAAAGGTGCCACAGGACCCTCTGTTGCTTTTTACTGAACAACTTATTTACTGTTTTGTTTTCACTACAGCCTAGATCATTTTGAACCAGGGATATGTTTAGCAAGACTGGAATAAGGAATTGAGAAGTACATCCTCCTGCGTGCATCCTCCGAGCCAAATCCATCACACAAGTAGAGACTCACCTCTTTGGAGGGCCAGACGTGATCTGCCTTTGCCCTGCACTGGATTAGACCAGCAGGCTGGTCTACATTAATGGCTGTCGAGTATGTCGTGCAAAATCACTTGGAGGAACTTTTTCGGGAGCCAACTTCTGGGAGCTCTGGCTACCGTCCTGTTGTCATCAGCACTGCCCACTCCTGACACTGGGCTAACTGCTTACAGCTCTGCCTCAAAAGTGAAAATGCAAATGATTTCCCCCAACCAAACCTTGTCCCTTGGCTTGGCACAGTTCCCAGCCCCAAAGAACTTTGCCACTTCTGCTGATAACATACTCTTCTGCCAGCAGTAGATATTGCCTTATGCCTGGAATTCTGAGGTTAAGTCTTTCGGGATAACCTATGTCCTATCACGACCATTATGCAAGTATTGACAATAGCTGCTGAAATAAAAAGCGCCCACCACAATGTATGTTGAAATTTTAGTGTGGCAAAGTTTCATTGCACCACAAATCAAAAATGTACCCTCCCTTCCTATATTAATGGGAGGCTGTAAAACAGTTTGTATCCCGTAAAGCCAGGGCCTTTAAACATTCCGGTGTATTGGGTTTAAACTGAAGATAGGGCAAGAAAAACCAGGATTCTAGATTATGTAACCATCAGGGGTTTTATAACAGAAGTGCTGATGCAATCTTAACTATCACCATCATCCTTATAGTGTAGTACAGGGAGGTTTTTTCCTTGTATACGTAAAAAGATTTTTCTGTGACTTTCACTGACTCCTGTAACATTCTATTGGTCCAGACTCATTCTTCAACTGTATTGCATTAAGTGAACCCATTCCACAGCAAAATGACCGTACCTCAGCAATTACAATCCAAATGTGAACAATGAAAACAAGATCTATAGATTTCTTCCACAGTGCCAGGTCTCCTGTGCTGAGCCTGGGAC